TTTATCAACTTTGTGTTGAGATGGCTGTGATGGTTTTATTCATTCATCATTAAAGGTTATTTCACAAACAACTCCTTATCATCACAAACATCTATCTGGACTCACTTTGATCCTCCTTAAGAATATTTTACTGATAGTGTTCTCATTTGATTGTCCAGGAATCTAAGATTCCTATACAGAAAGCTAGTTTTTTGTGCCTGGCTGCCCTCAAAAATATAGTGCATCCACAAAATGATCTTTTGGGATTAAGGACCAACATTTATGAAGGTATATTCCCTATCCAATAGCTTTCCTTTTGCATTTTCAGTCTGTGACGTCTTGCACACCTAGTGAAAGAGAACTGTGTTGTGATTTGGAAAATCTGTGAGTATTCTCAAAGATGTTTTGTTCCTTTATGGGATTTTTGAGAATGACAACTTAATAAAATCAACCAAATCTGCAGAGCAAGATCACAATTTTGAGTATTCTTGCATTTTGCATGTGCAAACCCTGTTCAGCCCCATAGAAAGTTGAAAAATGTCTGGCGGATAAAGATGGTATCACTTACACCCCATGTGACTGTTGTTGAGAGACAACTCACGTCTCTCCGACCAATGTTTCAGATGTTGTGATACAAATCCTCCCTTGAGATCAACTATGTGAGAACAATATTGAATAGTTACATTCTATTGACAACATATCAATCAGTTCCTGAATATCACATTGACATTCAACAGCAGTCCTTGAATATTGAATCAGTACTCCCAAGCTAGTAGTTCAAATGATAATTCTAATCAAACTTAATTGATCATCTTTCTTTCTATCAACATATAATATGTTTGTTCCTTTTGTCCCTGAAATGCTCTCTTTTCCTCATCCAAAATTTATCAGAGGAAAAGAGTAAGCTGATCTCCCATTTATCCATTTTCACTTCTTTTATATGTTTCTCTGTTATGTGGTACTAATTTTGTCAATGGTTATTTCACCTGTGCCAACGCTAGTTCAATATGCTAAACTACGTGTTGTGCATTTCTTCTTTGTTATTTTATTTGTCCTGAAACCTTATAGGTTAGTTTATCAGGCATTGTGACATGAGGTGATAAGAGGCTCACCTCAAATATTTGTCACGGAGTATTCAGGTTTTCTCGATGATTTCTTTTGCTTTTCAACTGTAGGGCACAGATATTTGAGTTTGTTTGAAAAAAATCTGGATTTCTGGAATGCCTGTTGAGAAAAATCCCCAATACAATCTAATCATAGAAATCTTATACAAATTTGCCCCACCAAGCTTTTATTGTAGATGGATGTATAATATCTGGAATATCATAACAGTACTAACTACACCCTTGCATGGATCTGTAATGCTTCACCAATGAGCACAGCAAGCTGTAATATCCTAGCACCACAGCTCCACACAGGGATGTAGGTAGTACCATCATGATCTGCCAGACTTTTTACATCCATGTACAAGGTTAAACACAGTTTACTGGGAGATTCCATGTAAATTTCAAGCACTGTGAGATTGTTATATAGATTGTTTTCAACTGGATTTCTGGAAATCAAAGTTTTTTTGCAAAGGAATTCAAAAATTGTAATATCTTATAATTCCAGCTACCCACAGTAGGTGTGAACATCAGAATCTACCACAGATTAAGCATCTTAGTATGGGTATGAACAAAGTTGACACAAAAGAATTGTCAATTTACTCAAAATTTTGAGATTAGTCTGGAGGTTTTTCAGGCAGGTATTCCAAAAATTGTTTTGTTTGAGAAAATTCAAAATTGCAATATATTAGCACCACAGTTCCATACAGGGATGTAGGTGGTACCATTAGATTCCACCAGTAAATATCCATCTGTCTATGGGAATAAACCAGGTTTTCCAGAAAACTTTGGAACATAGTCAGAAATGCAAGTTTTTTTGAGCTGCATCACCAAAATCAAAGTTCTTTTTACAGAAACATGTAACAGGAACAACTCTGCCTTACAGCCCTGTGCAGATATGCGGGTAGTACCATTGGGGGCCTACAGACCTCTTCGATCTGTTTACCAAGATAAAGCAAGCTTCTAGAAGGATTGTGAAGGATAGTAACAGCTTGGATATTGTGTAGGAGAATCTCATAAAACTGGTATTCCAAAAATGAGACCTTTTTCAAATAAGTCTGGTATTTTAGTAGCTGATATCATGGATTTGTACAGGGGTGTCAAATGGGCATGACTGACAGAGACAACCAATCTCAATATCCAATCATCCAAAGCTCATTGTTTTTGTGGCATTCTTTTGTCAGAAGCAAATTTGCGTTCATTTTGTCCTTGACAGCTGTCTTCATGGGGATGCAGGCAGAATAATTGATATCTTTTGATATCCTGCAGAAATCCCTTGAAATTGATCTAAACTTATCTAAACTTTATCTGAAGCTACTCTAGTGAGCACACTCTGGCCAGCCAGCCACTAGTAGCTATCTGGGGGTCGTCCTTAATCTGATAAATTGACAATACAGCCAAAGGTCACTGGATATCTACATTTGAGTCCTTCTGGGGCTGGTAGAAGTAAAGAAATTGACAAACTTTGCTGGAGAATGTAAAAGCGTCCCGGCAGTGTGGTTCAATCACATATCAAGACCTGAATTGGAATAACTGATCACAGACCATAAATGTGCAATACCTTGGAGCTCATTGGTCATTGATCAGCATGTGCTCAGACACCATATTTTTCCATTTTGGTCTGGTGATGGATTGTTGCATGGAACCTATTGAAGTTCTTTTAAAATTCAAGTGAAATTACTTTGAAATCCCTGAAATTTCTACAAGTTTACTTTGAAAACTCATTGAATTCATGGTGAGTCTGACAAGTATCTGAGGACTGTGAGCTCATAGCAGTACCTGATAACTTATATTGCTGCCAGATTGCCTGAATTGTTGTTCACTTGACTCCTCTTGGTTGTTATTACACCTTGTCACACTGAAAACAGCCTTCTGCATTAGTCAGGAATCATGTAAATCTTGTAGTATCTAATTAGCAATGAATTAAATTGTTTGTGGACATCAAAGCATTGCTCAACAACTGAACGGTGTCTTATCTTGTTCATATAAATACTTGACATTTGATGTCAACAGAAGGAGTGACTTTCTAGAATGGCATGAGCATAGGATTTGAAGAAACTCTTTACTGTATAAATTATACTGTTGAATAAATCACATGAACATATCCTTAATTTCCTCATGACTCATTTGACTTGCCACTTTTGAAAATTTTCATTGTTCCTGCAGGATCTGGAATTCATGCCACTGTAGTTGTTCTTGTGGTGGAAAGAGTTCCAACATATGTTTATCTCATCCCAAGCATACATACTGGTAATTTCATTTTCACAATCTCTTTGTCCTTTAGGTTTCTGGACTCTGCATGATTCTTTTCATCTACCACTGATCATGGTAAGTTTTGTCCTGAATTTTACCCTCCCAATTGTTCTTCTGGTATCACCAAAGTAAGCTTACAAAGTCAAATTCTCTTCCGGTTGTATTCAATGATAGGCTTACAATCAACTTCACAGTCATGTCATTTCATGTCAATCTAGTGAAAAGGATCTATATTTGGACAATGAAAACCCTTATGATGATGTTGTTGTTGAGTCAGGAAAGTAACAGATGTTCATAGAATTCAAGTTTTTGTGATTTTCTGTTGGATGGTTCCATAGGAGCTTTCCGGGGTCCTACCAGGGGTCAGGCGGGGCAGTTAGAAACAGCCTTTATCAACTGTAGAGCAAAAGCATTGTGGACTCCCGGTGATGAGAAAAGCAACAAAGAATACAGTCAAACCCGCGCACATGCATACCCGCGCACATGCATAACCAGCCAAAATGCATATGTTTTGGTTTCCACCCAGCTGGTGCAGGCCAATTTTGTCATTAATTGCATAATTATGTCAAAAACCATAATGCATACTTCTTTTCAAGTCCCCAAAGTCATAATGCATGCCTACAAAGCGCCCCAGGATGTGTTTTTTTTTCATTGAACTCTGATCGAATCCTTTGCAAGTAGGATTTTGGCAACATCAGGCAGCAATGAGCCCTCTATGGGGTCAAACCAACCCCTAGTGGTGTTTTTTTCTGCGTCGAAAAAATATCTTGTCCTTTCACCCGCGCAAAATACAAACGTACTATTGCATAAACTCATACAATTTCAACAAAAACCCGTCATAATGCATATTTCAATGCATTTAGGCCTAAATGCATACAATATGCATTATGGGGGTTTATCCCTATTTGCATAACCCGCAATAATGCATAGCAAAAATTGTCTCCCCAATTTATGCATTAGCGCGGGTTTGACTGTAACGCACAATGACTGCGGCACGCCGATCATGAACGCTCATCTGGTAGGCTCGACATGCTGAGATGTCCGAGCGGTCTAAGGAGCTGGATTCAAGTGTCGCAACTTGCACTGATAGTGTTTCCCAGTAGGGCAACCTGCGGGGGTTCGAATCCCCCTTTCAGCACTTTCTTTTGTACTTTTGTACCCTCATCATTGGCAACCGCTGGAATCTTTCCAGGCAAAGCAAATCCTGCGATTACGAGGCGCTTCATTCAAGGTGAGACTTTGTATATGACAAGTACACGGTGTATTGACTATTGGCCATTGTTTGTTTGTTGCGTGGGAGTGAGCGTAGCAGCGTGTTGTTGCTTTTATCTCTCGCTCTCCCAATCTGTCAAATTCAAACAAACCACACGGGTGGTTTCACTGGGAGACTGAGGCATGGCGGGACTCTACAGCGTGACAATGGCAGTAGCCATGATCGTCGAGATCACAATCCTGATGTGGGTATTGGCGGCGCATCCCCATGAAATAATATGAACCGCATATACAAATTGACTCTGGATCACAAGATTATCAACAACAATACAAGCTTTAATTCCAGCCATGTTCTACGAAAAAGTGACGCTAAGAACTCTGGCATTTTTGTGGTCTACCTTCTCCGCAGAGATCACCCGATCACAAGGATTTCAGGTTGAAATTCGAGGCCCATCACTCTAACTCGTCAACAGGAATAACGATCCCGTTTGGGCCTTTAGTGATGGTAGAGTTGGGAGACCACAGCTGGATCACATTGTCCTCCGCAGCGGTCACAAGGTGCCATGGTTTTGTTGGACTCCACGCGATGTCTGTGGGTCTGGATACAAACAATGAAACAATGTGGAAGACTTAGTTAGTCAATATTCGGGAAGCGATATGTCTACAGCGACAATGTGAAACGAGGACAATGGGCTAGACTAAGATAGATGAAAAAGAGTCTCACCGTGCGGTGTGACCACCATGAATAAAGAGAAGCTCAGGTGGGCCATCTTCTGCATCGTCCGGGGTTTGTTCTTCGCCGATTTTGCTCAGATCCCAGATATTTGTGCGTCGGTCCGAGGAACCGGATGCGAGAATGGTAGGGTGGAAGGGAGACCAGGCCAGTGAGATGAGCTCATCAGTGTGCGCTGTGAGCGCGTGAAGTCGGGTACTGAGATTACGCAGATCCCATAGGTTCACACATTGGTCGCTCCCACCTGTCACAAGCAAAAAATCAGACTGGGGCGAAAAGGCCACAGTATTCACTTCGCCAGCATGGGCGTCCGCCACAACTTGAACGGCCTTATCAGATTCTCTATTGCGTGTGTCCCAGCTGTTATGCAGGGAAATCAAAAGTACACCAGGGTATATGGTCAGCTCCATGATACTGCGAGGATAAATTAATCATTCTTCGCACAAGTAGCTTTCTCACATTAACAGCTGCTTATCATCACCGACCGATGCAAACACGCTGTCTTTATGATAATGCCACGAGACATCCTACAAGTCGATTTGTTAGTCGAGACAGAATTGACCAGTGTTTATTATTGCAAGTTGATGCTTGGACAGATCCTAAAGAAACTCAACTGAAACAACCGACGAATGCCCCTTGTAAACTCGATAAGGTTTCAGCACGGGGTCGCCTTTGGTATAGGCTTCAATGTCCCTGTATTTTTGTTGTCACAGAGCAGAAAATGGTGACATGGGTTAGATAGGGCAACTGATGGCCAAGCGAGAGTGAGAGAGAAAAGCGATATACCAATGACATATTGTCTCGTCTTCAGATGAGCTCAATAGATGACCCGTCTTGATTGTGTTCCAGTCAAGACCGAAGCTATGAGCAAATCAATGTCAATTTTGAGCGACAACGTTCCAATCCATGCGACGTTCCTAAGTGACGGATACATACCCTTCTTTGGTATGACCTTGAAGAGTGATGTCGGGTTTGCAAATGTTATCTTTGGGCGGATCGGAAGGATGTTTAGTGCGATCAAATACGTAAACATCACCCATCACAGTCTTTCTAGATTATTGCGAGGGGTAATGGATGAAGAGATGAGTATAAGGGATGATCTGGTAGTAGACTCGAGTAGGGATACCATAATAGTCAGGGTGGCGTACGTGGCTATCAGATCAGGGTTTTGAGGCATATATCTCGCTCGGTTTACTTCACCAGTGTGAGGAATAGATTGTGTCACCTTGAACCTAGGTTGTGTGTCAGAATACGATCCAATTTCTGTTCAAAAAATCAAAGTAAGAGACGATATCATGTTTTTTAGTTAAGATTTCCTAAGATCTCGATGACCGGGCAATGCTTGGAGGAAAAGCGCGGGGTAATTACCGCCAGACTGTTCGTCATATTTATCAAGCTCCAAGTCTTCAGCATCCGGATTGGGCAAGCGGACATTGACGATATGCAGATAATTAGGTTCGCTATCTGAGGTGTGTGTTCCGATCAGGAGACGTTGATTGGAGTAGGATTTATCGGACGATAATTCAGAATCGGGAAACCATTGTGTGGTGAGCGTAGGCCAGTCAAGCGCGTGAGTAAGGACAAGGTCATAGAGAAAAGGTGAGTTCTTCTTCCAGATCTATAATTGAATTCAATCAAGGATTAGCCAAGTGTCGAAAGCTGAAAAATGTTGCCTGAAGCTTTCTTACCTTGTACTCCTCATTAGCGATCTTGGCGATTGCCTGTGATTTCCATTGGAGTCCATCTACAGTCAGTAATTGTGGTTTTGAGTAGGTAGAAATCTGAAAGAGAGATGACCGACCTGAGTCTCTTGTTCTTCGATATCAGTTTCCATTTGATGACTCGGCATTTGGACGTGTTTGACCTCAAAGGTTCATCTTCAAGACGCGGTCTATCAAACACAAAAAACTCGATCACCTCGGTACCCGGATGTTTCTAGAGCTCAACCCGGTGTGCAGCGGTACCGTGTCCAAATATCTTGCATTGGATTTTGTGCGCAAAAAGATTGTCAGTCGTCCATCCCGCGATGAAGTTTGCCACATCTGCATATGGACGTGCAGCATTCCTGAACATCGTAGGAGTAACTGAAAGGATAGGCCGTGAGCTAGTAGACACTGTCTGATGGTCTTCATTAGTAGGGCAGATGCGAGTCCTTGTAACTGGGACAGCAAAGAGATGGGCAAGGGGAGAGGCATCGTTGTTGTCCAATAAAAGCTGCATGAAGCCGTCGGCGGAGGCGAAAGCGTCAGGTACCGGGAATAACATAGCTTGAATATTGGCTGCAGCCCACCAATCCAACCATTTCTTGGCAGCAGGGAACAGCCGACACAACTCTTCAAACTTGGCCTCAAGATCCAGCTTCCCTGGTTCATCAGGTGGAAGCAATCCTCAACACTTAGTAACCCAAAGATTCTATGCAAGAAAGCAAGTAATTATCAGTATATCATAAATATTAATGGAGAACCATCAATTCAAACAAAACTGGACAAAAATCCGCTTCCAGCCATTTCTTGTGAGGGCGCGGGTCCAAAACCTCAGTCTAAAAGATCGCACACTCAGCATCTGAAATTCAAGGAGGCAGTCAGACGTCATTGTTGAATCATATCGAATTATGATATCAAGACCAGGATATCACAATCAGACAAATTCAATCTACATCAGAAGCTGTGATACAGATTGCCAACATTGGAATGACTCGTTTACTGAAACCACTGCAGACATTATTCGGGTTCCCCAAGTGGGCAGGGAAAAATGATTGGGAGTATGATTTGTCATAAAATGGTCTATCACTCCACACCTGAGCCATAACACCCACACTACATATGTGTAGCAGGCTCAGTGAATATGTGGTTATCATGTACATACAGTTCTGCTCAGTTATCTGCTCATCAGGACAAGTTATTCATATGTAATACATGCTGTAACTTCTTTCAGATTGAAAAAAGCTTCCAAAAGATTGACTACATACACTGACTCAATGTTTTGGTGTGATCTCATCAACTCAACTGCATGTAACACACTTTCTGTTACTAAGACATAGCTTCAACAATATTGCCTGAGCAGCTACAGAATTATATGTAGTGGATTTTTGGGAAAAAAATTTCAAAGTCGAAAAAGTTACATGTGGTATAACATGTGATTTATTTATTCTGATGGGCAAAAAACTGAGCAGACCTGTATGTACATGATAGACAACTATTGACTTAGCTTGCTGCACATATGTAGTGTGGGTGAAATGGCCCAGGTGTGCAGTATTAGATTCTTTTATGAAAAAATGTACTATTAATCATTTTCCTCTGCCAAATTGGGGAAGTTGAATGATGTTTACAGTGAACCATGAATGAGTACCTGTCCAGTCATTGATGTTCTATCAGCGATTCTTCTACACCACGAACCCAACAAAAGTTGAGGAACGGGTTTCAAGAGGTTTCAAAAAAACCTGGCCCTAGCTTGACCAATACCCGGCGCACACCGCGGCTGGACCCGGGTTTCAAGTGGTTTTCAAAGTACAGGTGATCAACCACTGCGAAAGCGGTTGATCACCTGTACTTTAATCATGCCTCGAAAATACGTGGAGACAAGACCTTGTTCTCCCCTGATTTAATCATCAGCGGATGCATTGCAGGTCTTAATCTGCTTAACCACGGGAGAGCCCATCTTTTACCCTCAAAGACCAGAGGAAGAAAATTCATCATTCCCTTTCCGAAGGACGAATTTATTTGCTTTCACATCTTTCAACCTGAGCGGCCACAGATGTCTGGACGTCAATTGATTGCCGAATGTAACTCTTCTCAATGACAACCAACATCACGGCTTAATCTGACAAAGGTTGACCCTCCCAGGTTTCACAGAGACTCTTCGCGGGCCAGGAGACATTGTCTTCACTTGTTTGGCGTGTCCTGGAGGCCGATCTCTCCAAGAGGAATCGATTCCCAGGCATTGTAAAACCAAAAAACATCTCAAATGTCTCAACAGGTGGAAGGCCGAACGTATGAATGCCACCACAACTGTGACCTTCATTGAAGATGATGTAATCGATGGTTCACATCCTGCAAGTGACATGGATGGACATCTTGATGATGACATCAACATGAACTCACCAAATGCTGCCTCACCGGAGCCTGATGTGGTCGAGTTTGATGATCATGAACGCGAACTACGGCGTGGCGCTGTCATTGATCTTTGGGCACGCGATCATTCAAATCTCTTCGCATCTCCAGCTCCAGATTCTGCTCACAGTGCTACAGACAGCAGCAAAGACACAAATCGAGCAGATGAATCGACGGATGATGGCTGGGAGGATGAGGATGACGACTTGAACTCAGAACAATCTGAAGGAAAGCATGCAAATAATGCAAAGTCATCATCCTGGGCACCTTTCTCAAGTTTGGAGGTTGGAAGCTTTCAAATTATCTTGAAGACTATTCAAATCCATCATCTGATTTGATCCCTTCAACAGCAAATCGTTGCTCTTCTGATCCTAGGTTCATCCAGAACCATCATGTCACTGCTTCAGTATGAACGAGTCCGCTCCTTTGTCAGTCTCTTGAAAGTAAAACTTCCAGCGTATAAAAGTCTCCAGCATGTGCGGCGAAAACTCAAGAAAAGATTTGACTTTGATGTCTCTGAAACTCTCAGTGCTTCGGGCAAACCATGCTTTGGACTCCAGATCAAGCAGATATTAACTCAAGTACAGATTTTCTTTCATATTTTCGATTTCAACCTTTGATTTGTTCAACCTTTGATTTGCATCGCTCATTGATATGGCTACTTACAGGAATTAGCAAATCCTTATGTGATGGATCATCTACATTTCATACCGGAATTACCAACATTAACATCAAAAATAAATCGTTTTACACAGTCAAAAAAATGGCGAGAGGAGCTGGATAAAGACATGCGGGTTCAGATGATTGAATCACCAAAGGGACACTTTTTCTTATTCGAGCCGGTTCAACTGGAATCAAAGAGAATCGTGATTCCTATCTTTTTCTATCGGATTGATACTCAGGTCTTTGCAAAATGTGTCTTTGCACATCAAACTTCTCATCTCGATTCCAAAGGGCATCAGCGCATCCGTGTAGAGTTTCCCTCTATTACGTGCTTTGATTCATCACAGCTATCTTCAATAAATGTGAAACATTTTGCAAGAGGATTGGATAAAATTGAAATCCGTGGTGGCAGATTGATGAAAGACCTCTGTGGAGATGTGATGTATCGTGAGTCATAAACATCTGTATTTATAGGTGACTGAGGCTGATCCAAACATGATAGAAAATATTGGGAATGGGACATGTCATGAAGTTCCAATACAAAATAAATGGCGAAAGAAGGCAGATGGCAAGTTAATTCGACATGTACCGTTGGTGTTATATTGCGATGATTTATCAGGAAATATTTCCAAGCAGTGGAACAAACACCTGGCATTTTATTTCACTTTGGCTGGACTGCCCTCAAAATTCGCCAATCAGGAATATAATTGTCATTTCCTGACAACGTCAAATACAGCAAGTGCTTTGGAGCTTGCTGATCCAATTATTGACTCGCTGAAGTAATTATTTCAAATTATTATTTGTTCTTTGATCAATATAATCTAATCATGCTTTGTTCTCAGTGAACTTACCACGAATGGCTTTTTTGCATATGATGATCAGTGCAAAGGAGAAGTCTTGGTTGTACCTTTTGTCCTCTGTCATTTGGGAGATTCGCCTATGCACGCCGAGGTGACTAACACAATGAATCCAACGATTTCCCTCACACCATGCCGAATTTGTGACTTGAGGGTTGGTTCATTGGCAGAGAAAAGATTGGTGAAATACATCAGCAACTTTGTCGGAGTTGATGAAAATGGAGATAAGGTGAGCTTGAAGATCTTGAGAGCTTTAGTCAGAGTCTTCTCAAAACCGTTTCTGTCTTTCTTTTTCTCTTTTTCCTCTTCCAGTTTGATTTACCAAAGAGAAGCTGGTCTCAAACAAAACAGCACACAAAAGCACTCTGGGAGTTGGCACAAAAGCCCGGCACGATCGGTACTTTTGAAAGTGAATCAGGAAAAGCTGGTATTCGGGACCAGCACGTTCTTCCCTTTATTAAAAAGGTTCAAGAGATGCGCATGCATCGAGGAGATCGACACTTTACAAATGAAGAAGTGACACAGTTCTGCCATGAACTTAACACCGAATTTGGAGAGCACCTATTCAATCCCTTTCTCAGGTTGAAAGGTGAATCTATCCACATTTTCTCAGACTCTACTCTCAGAGATAAAGAAACTAACCTTTTGGTGATTCCACACAGGATTCGATGGTCATGCAGATACACCCATCGAAATCCTGCATGTTGTGCTGTTAGGAGTGGCAAAGTACCTTCTTCGCAACCGAATGAAGCTTTGTTCAGAAAAAGAGAAGGAAGGCATATGGGGAAGGTACAGATCATTTAGTACCTCGGGCCTCAACATTCCTCCCATCCAGCCAAAAAGCATGATAACGCATTTCCAAAGCCTCACAGGGAAAGAATTTCGTACAGTATTGCAATCAGCGCCATTCATATTTTTTGATTGTGATTTATCAACTGACGAACGCGAAGCATGGACAGCACTATCTCATCTGGCTCCATTCATCTTCCAGACAGAAATTTCAAACATGGACTTGTACCTTGAGCAACTTGGACAGCAAATCGAAATTTTCCTTCTCTCGATTGTCAAGCTCTCGGCTCAATGGTGCAACAAGCCCAAATTTCATATGATGGTCCACCTCTCTCAATCAATCCTTCGATTCGGTCCAGCGTGCCTCTTTGCAACCGAAAATTTTGAATCTTATAACGGAAATACACGAAACTCGTCAATACACTCCAATCATCTGAGTCCAGGCCGGGATATAGCAAATTCATTCAATAATCACAGGCTAATCCGCGCGCTAACTTCTGGTTCCCTTTTATACGATAAAGTACTGAGATCATACATCGCAGCAAGTCCAAAAGTTTGTGATATATTCAAAAATAATGTCTTATTTCAGAAGACATTAGGCTACAATCAAACTTGGAATCAAGAAAACGATTTCAAAGTTGGAAGTAAGCATGGATTATTTCCTCATTGGTTAACAAATTAGCATTCTTATTCAATATTTATATTCTAGGAATTCATATTCTAGGAATTCATAAAACACAAGCCGAAAACCCTGATGAGTGTATCCCTAAGGCTATCTATGAAGCGTACAGAGCAAAGAATTGGAAGGTTCTAGATTCATTTTCTTTGAAGAATAACCAGCAATTCAAAGAGAATAGCTTTCTATCAGTGCGTAAAATTAACATCTCTCTCTCCGTTTAAACTTGGATTTTGAACCACGTTATTTGTCTCAATTTAAAGATCAATATACAATCCTCGGGTGTGCAATTCATAGGGAAAGTCGGAAGGATCTGGGCAGTAGGTGCCCAGAATCCTCAACAAAGCAAGATCGAGGTTTACAAATGCCGAGTTGGAGACGTCAGCAAATTTTATCGTATGCGGGAGATTGAGGTGACTCAACAGTGTTTTTGGGTCAATCCTAGAGTAAGCAACAATGTACTTTCTATTGTACTTTCTAATTCAATTGAAAATGTCCTTAGCTGACACGAATTGTATTGTTTAGGACATTGAAGGTGTGCTTAATGTGCAACACGACTGCCATAAAAGCAAATGCACAGTCAAACAGGAGCGACCTATCATGATTGAGTGGCGTGTGTCGAAGAATTTTGATCACATGGTGGTGCATCAGGATTCAGCTTCATTTGTCCTCAATTCAGGTTCGTTTTATTCGGCAGAACTCCATCGAAAGTGGGCCGGAATCACATTTTAAAAAGTATCACCTGAAGACTGGCGCTCTGGGATCAAGAGGGGAATGGCAAACTGGGAAGCAAACTTGAAGGAAAAGGAAGATAAGCAAGATAAACAACAGAAAAAGACAAAGGTCAAAAACCCTCCCGGCAAAAAGAGAAAAATAAAAGGTAAAGAGAGAGCAGTCTCAGAGGAAATGGTCTTCGAACCAGTGGCTGGCCCATCAACTGGACATCAGCTTTTGAATCATCATTCAATCTTTCTCTAACTTTGTTCAAATTGCGATTTCTTTTCATTTATCTCGTCATTTTGTTCATGAGGCATTTTTTGACTGTTCATTTAATTTCATTTGTACCAAGTTTTTTGATTTGAATTTATTTGTATTATATCGATTGATTTATGATTTTCTTATTTGATTTATAAACCAATGACCTCTTCCACCCGGAGACGCTGTTCTCGAAGAGCTCCTCATCAGAGCAAGAAACAACAAACATGCCTTTTTTTGCGCCTTTGATTGCAGGTTTCACAGATCAATCATCTGTGAATACTATGATTTCTTATCTGAATTTGATTGGATCATATTTATTTAATCTTCTTGACAAATAAAGACGTCATCCACCGGGACATGATGTTTTTGAAGAACTCCTCATCAGAGCAAGAAATGTTGAACTTGCCTTTTTTTGCGTCTTTGATTGCAGGTTTCCCAGATCGAGCATCTGTCACAGTGAATGACAGGTGTCGATTAACCCCTTTTTGTCATTTCGATCAAAAGGGTGACCTCATTCCTTTTTCATTTTCCTTTCCGACTCTTTCTCAACACATCTTTTTTCGTTTTTAGTTTTCTTCTCACTTGGCACTTTGTAATCCAACCATGCCTGCAAAAACTCGCACGAATCCATACGCCCTTCCACGACAAGCAAGTCCACGAGTTCCCAGTCCAACTCAAAAACAAGCAACACCAGGTCCGTCATCTTCAAATGTTGGTTTACGGAGCTCGCGCAGTCGCACTCGCACAACCTCCCGAGTCACAGGCAAACCGGCTTCAGTTGGCCGCCAGACCAAATGTCGTACTCCCAGTGGTTCACAGACTGTCATTTCAGCTGATCAAGACGGACAGAGCAAAGGCAAGGGACGAAAGGATTCCAACACGCTTTCGAATGCCTCTAAATCTCGACCAAAATCGAATTCTCCTGTATCCTCTCCAGCTGCTCCCTTATTCTTGGAAGATGATCTTGATGATCTCAACGGAGGAGGAGGTAATCGTAAGTCATTCTCATTCTATCTCTCTCTGTTTACTGTAGTCTCTCTTATTGATCAATCAATTTCAAACACCATATAGATGATGATGACGATAACGATGACGATGACGATGACTACAATCACAATGATGAAAATTCAGAAAATCACGATGAAGATTTCGACATTCAAAACAATAAAGAAGAGTCTGAGCATAGTAACAATGAATTCGCTGATCCAAATGAGGTTGATGATGATGATGCTGCTGCTGCTGCGTCTGGATCTGGAGAGAATTTGCCTCCTGGAGGATCGGCTTTGACTCCATTTCTCAATGGTGAACGCTTACGAAATTTTAACAAATTAGCAAAAACGGCTGGACTCAATGATGACTTTAAGGTCATGGGACGTGTCCTCTGCAATGTAAGTAACAACCACAATTATCTATGGCTCATCACTAATTTTTTGGCTTGATTCAGCTCGACGGGAGTGCAGACGATTTTACATCATTGAGTGTTGCCCTGCTATCGGCACGACAAGAAATCCGTAATTATCACGAGGAGGCAAATGGTAAGATTACCCAGTTGTTGGAGAGTTTAGCATGTTTAACAGCCCCAAAAGCAGGATGGACCGCGTCCCATGAGCTCAGGGTAAGTGATCTAACTTATCAGAGATTCTATCAAAGCCAAAGCCTGATGTTTTGATGAGTTTAAGCAAACCGCACGTATGATAGCCACTCAGTGCATAATCACGGGTGATGTGCAAGCATACACAGCCACCGCGAACAAGGAAGGTAGTCAAGAACATCTTCCTCGCTCCTTATGTGCGAAGCTAATGGTAAGCCGCTATTGTATCACTTTTCTCCTTTGTGATGTTGTCAAACTGATCTATGGGCAGGCCAAAATCCTTGATAATCCTTCTGAATGGAGAAAACGATTGCTACCAGCGCGATATGGGAAAAATCCGGACCCTGTGGACTCAAGAGACTTTCAAAAGTGGATCAACGTCATTTTGAAAGAGATCAGAAAGGACTTGAATAAGATTGTAAGTAATATTATTCATGAATTTCATATCCATCATCTTCACTCTTATCAATTTGTTTCGCAATTCCAGCTCCTCACAAACATCCACCTTCCCATCCGAGTTAAGAAGACCCCATCAAAGTTGAATGTGCCAACCATTGAGACATTGATTGTCAAGGCAAGTGTCATCTTTGTGTTTTGTTTCTTCTTGATTTAACCTCACAAGATTGTGAATATGTTAGATTTACGAAAGAGAGCATGATTTCATTGGAGGCAAGGTGCGCGTGCGTGAAGAAATTCTTCCGGGAGTAAATCATCTTCAAAGATCTTGATTTGCATGGCTTGTAAGTTTTCTCAAACCTCAAATTTCAAATCAAACAAAACCAAAACTGATTTATGAATTCATGGGTTCCAACAGAGAATGCAAGCTATATACACTGGGGATGGAATACACAAGACTATAGCAACAAGACCTTCTGGGGAGTCGTGGATGAAAAATTGGAGGAATTGCGTAGCAAGTCTGTTCGGTATCGTTATGCGTGAGTTTTTGTATTGATGTTGGTGATTGGAATTACTCGAGCATCCATCTTGATTATCTTGATTTTTCAACAGGTTCTTTCTTGAGGTTTTACGCCAAGACTTTGATCGATTTGATGGCGAAAGAACCTTTGCCGAAATCCAGAAAACCACCAAGTTCGAGTTGCCAACCGAAGAAGAAGTCCAGGCCCAAATACAGCACCTAGAAGAAACTCATGGAGCCAGAGTGGTACCAGCAGAGCTCGACCATACAGAAGCTGTGTGATAGCATTATCTAATTGAAGTCTGACATTGTTGAAGTATGAGGTATGTATAACATAGAGTTTTTTCATTTGGCAAGGTCTCTTTTGTCTCTTTTGTAGCATCTCTCCTGTATCATTTTTCTCGAGTCTCTTCTCTCTTCCATTTATGTATGTTTTTCCAATCAAGTTTCTATTGTAAATATCTTTTCAATTTTTATTGTACATATTTGTTTTCAATCAAACACGCTTTAGTTCAGCATCCATCAGCATTGCACTGTGCGCCTGCAAGCAAAATGGCAAAAAGAGAAAGATCCCCTAAGCCTGCGATCTGGACAAAAAATTGGGACCACCCCCGATTTTCCACCGCACTAGAACCAGTGAAGAACTGAGCTTGCAAGATCAGTTTGTCTTAGGTTCGGCAGGGCGCGTTCTGCATGCGTTTTGGCCTGAGCAACCAAGATCGGTTCTTGACCGGGGCTCAATCCTGGTTCAGGACCCGGGTTGGTGGGTTCGTGGTGTAGCATGTCTCCAGCTAGTTCAAAAAGATGAGAGATTTGCGTTAGAGATTATGACGTTGGCCTTGAAGTAATCTAGCATGAATATGATTTAGGGAGCAACATTTTTCCACCAACCCAATTCCACCGGATTATTGAGTGGAAAAACTACTTGGTGGGAAAATCTACGCCAGGGGGGTAAATAAAATTTTCCACCCAATTCAATTTTTTTGAAAAGGAGGAAATAAATTTGGTGAAAAAAATGGGGTGTTAAACCCGTGTACCCAGTGGGGATATGTAAATTTACACTTGATTTTTACCACCGGATAATACAGTGCAAAGAAATATGGTGTGAATTGATGAAGTACCCCACTAAACTGCAATTTTCCACCCAATGCATTTGCCACCTGCTTAATTAGGTGTTAATGAAAGGGGTGGCAAAATATAATTATACCTTTCGGAAGTGTAGTTTTCCACCCACTAATTACACCTGATTTTTAAAAAAAGATTTTTTGGCGACACCATCACACAATATTGCACAATGACCGTTTTTAATTATGCAAGTACAAACATGACAATGAGAGGAAAAAAAGGAAAAAACATAACCTAACTGTGCAAAACAAGAAAGAGATAAAACAAAACAAACTGACGGAAATGAAAGAAAAAGAAAAAGAAAGCAGAAACAAGACAATTCACTCGCAAAACAATCTGGCAGGTCAATACAGTAGAGAAGATGAAACATACAAAATCAGAAGCAGAAAGAAAAATAAAAAAAACCCAAGCTTTAGCCTTGTGCTTCCCTGCAGCAGCTTTGCCCTTGCGCCTCTGTGGGGCAGACTGGCGCTTGTCAGCCGCATTGCGTTTTTTGAGGGTTGGTGGTGGTGAAATGACTCCTGCGCATAATTGTATTGAGTCAATACAATGTGAAACATAAAAAAGTTATTAGACTTACGTGGTAAATCACTCTCAGAGGAACCCTCAGCAGGTTTCTCTTTGGCAGCAGCTTTTGCTGCAGCAGAAGCTTTCACAGCAGCAGTGGCCTTGCGCTTCTCGCCGGCTGTTTGGCGTTTTCAGCCGCCTTGCATCAAGTCAGTGGGCATTGAGAATGGAATCAAATGATGATGGTCTGGGAAACTGTTCTTCAAATCTTTGACTGAGTTGCCTATAGGTTTCCTTTCCTCTGCAAAAGGAATTCATGAGGATATCACCCAGCTGGTGTGTTCTTGAGGGCCAGCTATCTTAGAAACATCAGCCCCTATGATTTGTGCATTACGCACGTTTTCAGGTTCATCAAAATGCCCGGAGAGTAGCCATATCAGTCTTGACAGGAGACAATGGGAGACAACGGCTGTACAGCTTTCTGTACAGCGTGTCTTGATCAATCTGAAGCCTGAAGCAGTACCCCTGTGTTTGTCCGACTCGCAATCAACTCCCATCCAAGCTTGTCACTACCATTTTCTTCTGTGTTTTGCCAGCCAACCGGTTGAAATCTATCCCAGCAATATGGTAAAATCTTCAATTTGAAGATTTTGTCAAGTTTTATGAATGGTCTATCACAACGTTTGGAGAAAAGAAATGGAATGAAAAGTCAAAAGGAAATTACCGTTTGATTCAAAAGAAATATAAAAGAACAAACTCGGTTTGAGTATTTTGATCATTTCAAACCCAATTTTAGTTTTTTCAATAGATCAATCGATTAAAAAAACCAAAAGTTCGAAATGATCTTGTTTTCCACAAACTGATATCTTATGGTGGATGAAATGTCAGTGAACTTGCTGGAAGAGTTCAACTTGAATAGAAGAGTTCAACATTATCATAACCCCTCCATTGATTATCCATAAAAAGTAGCTATCAGACTTTGCATCCCTGGGTTGCATCTTACATTCTTGAGATGCATGTCTGTATAAGCTCTTTTACTGCTTGCATCTTTGGGTAGTGGTGTCTCTCAGTGTCTACTTGGTACTTAGTCTCTTGGTTGTCTCTTGGTTGTCCATTGTCTCCCATGAAGACTGATACACTTACGCTCCCAAAACGCCACACTTCCACAATTTCATTGTATTTTCTCACTACTTTGCACCAGTAGTGAGCACCCCATCAAGAGCCTTGTGAAACCATGTGATAAGAACAATTTCCTATCATTAAGTGGGCTGGCCACACTTGATCCCCCATGAAACATCTTTGATCTTCACCTACCATTCCACTAAATTAGTGGACAAGAAAATATAAATGTAATGGAAGTGAAGTAGTTTCAGTGGTAATAATTTTACTATTTTTTTCAAACATAATACAGCCATATTCATAATTGATGAACACTCAAAACAAAACCTTTTGAAAGTTTTGTGCTGTACCTGCCTACAATTTGTGTTGATCATTCAAAAAGTTTTTTTCAAATGTTCATCAATTATGAATACGGCTGTAGGATCATCCGGTGTTTCTTCGATGATTGGGTGACATTTCCAACACACCTGACCAGTCTTAGATGTAATTCCGGTGGCAATCCACTCGTTGATTAAAGAATCAACCTCTGAATACGAGAGAGATGTGTCCTTGAACATGGCAGACGTTACTCTGAAAGCTGGTCTGTTGGAAGTTGATAAGAGGTTATGGCCTGCGTTGATAGGACATACCTTAGTTCTAGTTACAGGCATTGAGAACAAAGGTAACATCTTCAGTGAATTGAGGATTTCATCTATGATTCTGTTGGCTGATGCGAAAGCGTCGAATTTGAAAGAATCCGGTCTGATACGTTGAATTGCTTTGTGCAATAGGTTTTGACCTCGAGTCAGGACATTTTTGATATGATCTGCTTGAGTAATCTCAGCCTTTAGCCGTTGGGTGAAGTGGCACATTAGGATGTCAATTAAGTTTGTCCCGTTGACGTGTGTGTGAACATGAAGCACAAATTCCAGCTTGAGAATTTGTTTTGGAATCTTGAGTTTCTTGAGGTGGATTACAAGTTAAACATGAATAAATCGATTGTCTCAATGGTCCAAGTGATCTTGTACACCGTGTACAATCGAATGGAAGTACTTCTGCTGCTTCAGATTCTAGTGAAGATTGTTGAATGAGTAAGTCAGGAATCGTTACTTCTTGTGGTTGACTGATAGTATTGGTACTAGCGCTTGCAGTGGGAGAAGATCGAGATGTTGATTCCTTGTTCGCTGTTTCTTCATTCGGTGGTAAGTTCGATGACATTTCTATACTTGACTCATTGAGCCAAAGTTCAAGGAGAAATTCTTTTTGGATAGTTTGAGTGGTAATCAAAGCTTGACTGTCTGTGGCGAGAACATTCAATACCCGAGCGTCAGCCTATCCGATTCCTGCATATCCGCACTGACAAGGGCCGGCCACAGCCGGTCCCGAGTACCACCTCTTTTTTCGGGATTGGTTCTCCAACGCGCTTTGACATTCTATCCAGCTTTGCTTTCAAGCCTTGAAGGAAACGCGACGTTTAAATGGAATGACCAACTTTACAAACTTGAAGTCATTCCAGTGCTCCATCTCGGTCGCCACAATCGACACCTTGACGCGCTTGTCAGCCTGTGCTTCACGAAATTCGCAAGCGGTAGCTGCACCAACGGTTCTACTTTTTGGATGCAGGGACACCATTTACGCAGTGGTGTTGACACGGCTAACAGTTGCATTGGGTATCAATCTGGGATGATTAGACGGTCAACTGGTTGCTGGAGACGCGTGAAACTTAAAGTGACGACTCGGAATCGTGGCCGCGATGTTTGGTCCAGATGGAAATTGCCATCAGTGTGAAAGGGATCTAATTGCTACTTGGTCAGTGCAATAAGTGAAATCGGACGGCACACTGCTAATGTGATCTGTTTGACGATTTCAGACTTGAACTACTTATTTCAGTCGAATGCTGAGCGCACCACCCGCACGAAAAAATCCATTGTTTTGATATACGAACAGGATTTGTGGGCTGGGGATGAATTGAGTAACAGTTGCATTGGTAATCCATCTGGAACAATTGGAATGACAACTTCTTGCTGGAGACGCGTGAAAGGGAAGAGCCGCGACGTGGTTGTTATTTCTGGTCAAGATATAAATTTTGGTCAGCAACTCAAGTGCACTGGTGGACGTGAAAAATGATTGGTCAGTGCAATGTGTGAATTTTCACGGCACACTGCTAATGTGATCTGCTTGATGATTTCAGATTCGAGTTATTTCAGTCGAAAGCTGAGATTTTTCAGTTCGTGATGATATTTGATCATCAAAAAGACT